GCTGGAGCAAGGGTGGTGGTGTTGGTAACATCCTCAGCTGTGGACTTCACAGGCGCAAAAAACTTGTAAACTTCAAAAGCCTAAAAACCCCTACACTTTCCTGGATGAGGTTTGGCACACGCCAAGCCGAACACGCTACAGTTTGTAGATTTAAACGCAAAGCAGCTGGAGGAAAGCCTAAAGAGTTCAAAGTCCATAAACTCAACAACTAAGCAGCTGGAGGAAGGGTGGTGGTGTTGGTGGTTGCAGCAGCATCGGTAGGCGAAGGAGTCACCAACTTGATGACGGGGGTCGGAGCCTGCGGTGCGCATGCCAAGCACAAGAACAGTCGAAGCCGCAACGTAGTAGTTAGTAGGTAGTAGTGGGTATAATGCAGGCAGGTAAATATGCGTAGGCAAATAAACAGGCAGTTGGGTGGGCAGGTAGGCGGCTAGGTGTGTAGGTGGCTAGCAGGTGGTGACAGGTAGTGGTAGTGGATAGGGCAAAAATGGATAGTGGCGGGAGGTGTAGCGGGTATCGGCGTGGCAGGTAGCAGGAGGCGAGTATGGGAGAGCTGGTACTAGTAGCGGGTAGCAGCAGCAGCAGCAACAGCAACAGCAGCAGGGGTAGTGTAGTCGTCGTCGCAGTCGTAGTCGTAGTCGTATATAGTCGTAGTCGTGGTCGTAGAGTATAGTTTTAGTATAGTTTAGCGGTAGCATGGCAGAAATAGGCCGAGCAACAGTTTAGAAGAATGTCAGATCAGGGTGGGGCTTGCCAACTCTAGACTCTAGGAACAGACTTGTTGGGCTAACCTGCTGATAATGGCATTGTGGCATGGCTTATAAGGGGTTTGCAAGGCCGTTAAAAGTCTAGGGCTTTAGGGTGTAGAGTTCTGGGACTTCAAGATTTCATAGGGTCTATTGGGGCTCAGGGTTTATGTTCATGATATTGCAGACTGCAAAGCTGAAGGTTGCTCCGAACTGTGCAAGGATGCTGCGCAAGTCCGGACCGTTAAATCCTGGACTATAGCTTCTGGAGCTGTTGCCAGGAGACAGGACTATAATACCCTGCGCTCTGAAAGATTCAAGAACACTGTCCCACTGCCACCAGCCTCGTTGTCGCCGGGCGGCAAGTCTGGTACGCTTGTGTCCTCATTGTCGCCTGGTGTAGATGCTGGTGCGATTGTGTCTTGGTTGTCGCCTGGTGTAGATGCTGGTGCGATTGTGTCTTGGTTGTCGCCCGGCGTCGATGCTGGTGCGACTGTGTCTTCATTGTCACCTGGCGTTGATGCTGGTGCGATTGTGTCTTGGTTGTCGCCCTGTGTCGATGCTGGTGCGACTGTGTCTTCGTTGTCGCCTGGCGTCGATACAGGTGCGACTGTGTCTTGGTTGTCGCCCTGGGTCGATGCTGGTGCGACTGTGTCTTCATTGTCGCCCGGCGTCGACGCTGGTGCGATTGTATCAGCATTGTCGCTGGGCTCCGGCATCGTCGTCTCATAGTACCCATATCTGCCGGGACTGTAGTACCGAGGGCCAGAAACACCTAAGCTAAAGTCACACACTCACGCCTTCTGATCCCTAATCCAAACTCTAAACTCAGATCATGCCTGTCAGGATTCTGTAGGACTCAAAAGTCCACAGCTGCAACCCCTGCAACTACTTGTAGAGTCGTCCGTTGAGCCTGCGCGCCAACCCTTGGCCTAAACATCAAACCCTGCAAACCCTAAACCCCAAAACCTTAATCCTTAAGCCTTATGTAACCTCAAAACCTAAACCCCAACACCTTAATCCTTAACCCTAACTAAATAAACCCCAAAACCTAAATCCTGTACCCTAAACCCCAAAATCTTAATCCTTAGCCCTAAAACCTGAACCCCCAAACCTTAATCCATAACCCTAAACCCTAAACCCCGAAACCTTAACCCTAAACCCTAAACCCGATAACCTTAATTCTTTATTGTACATATATGTTCCATGTGGCTCTACCTGCAGCTCCCAGTTCCAGCTGGTTTAAACCCTCTACCTCCGGAATCATAACCTGCTATGTAGCTAGGGCTACAAGCCAAGCCTCTTACGGGCAAGACAGGGGCTGAGCCCTAAACCCAAGACCTTATATTATATATAAACCCTAAACCCTAAAACCCAAAACCCTATACCTCTAAACGCGAAATCCTAAAACCCTAAGCCCTAAACGCCTAAACCCTAAGACCCTAAAACCCTAAACCCTGCACCCTAAAACCCTGAACCCTACAATTATGCAGAGCGGGGGTTCGGGTATCCGAATCTAAGGGGGTTTGCAACAGGACTAGGGTTTATAGGGTTTAAGGCTTTCGGGGTTTAGGGTTTAGAGCTTTAGGGGTTTAGGCTTCAGGGCCGTTTAGAAGTTTAGGGTTTAGGGTTTACAATAAAACGAGGCTGTTAGGGGTATATTATCGCGGACATATGACATACTGCTATATTCGTCTAGTAACCAGAAGGGGAGAGCATTGCCAAACTGTCAGATCCATGTAATAGGACAAAGAGTTCGAGAAAGTTGGGGACCTCCCTCGCAGAGGGTTTAGGGTTTAGGGGTGCAGGGTGTGCTAGGAGGATACTTCTTTACGATGTGGGCTACAGGGTTTTTCCAGGGATTAAGGCTTGGGTGTCCCTGAGTTTGTGAGACTACCCTTTGGCTACCACTGGCCGGAAGACAAGTACTCCCGAAGGTTGAGGGAAACTACAGGTGGGGAGTTTAGCGTATATAAGGCTTCAATAAGGCTTCAATAAGGCATATACGGACCTTCGAAAAGGCTCCAAAAACGGTAACTACCCACCTGAAAATGTCCTAGAGAAGGGTCCATGTGCCCAAGTAGTATAACTATACTATATACTTGGTCCTTAATTAAAGTAGTCCCTGGTTCAACACTTTTGGCGACGGCATATATCCTGTTTGGGTACATGGACCCTCAGGCACAACTGAAGACCGCTACCCTCGGCCCAGACCGCAAAGAGATTCCAGGACCTGGGAGATTCCGGACCCTCCGAAGGAGAGACCTGGACCCTTGCCCCTAAGGGTCCAAGGACCTAATAATCATGTACTCTCCCAAATACTAACCTATACAACAACTATCCGCAACCAAAGTACCTGATTATTGGGTCCTTTGGACCCTTAGGGTTAGGGTAAGCAAAGAAGAGATGCCGTGATAGCGCAGCCGGTGGAAGAAGCGACGTAGGTGTATGGGGCCCTGCAAGAGCGCGGAAGTGTCCTCCTCCTTCCAGCGCTTTCGGGGCTAATTATGGTCGAAGGGTAATTCCCCAGAGACTCCAAAACCCCTTAATTAAGGAATATGCCTTAAATTATAATAGGAACCCGAATAAGATGTAAGGCATATTCCTCAATTAAGGGGTTTTGGAGTCTCTGGGTACACAGCGTTGTACTACGGGTCCAACTGCCGCGAAATTCGGTACCGAGGGGCTCAGAGTTCTGCTGATGGTAGATGGTAGCTTAATACTTGTTGGTTCCCTGTTGGGGCAATTTAAAAATGGTTTAGTTAAACAAACAAACGAGTAAACCAAGCATGCACACACACACACAGAGATATATATATATATACATATACATACATAATATAAATAAATAAATAGATAAATAAACAAATATATATATATACACACACACATTTGTATACAGAGTTGTGTAGATCTACCTTGTACATTCGCAATACACTTGCTCTGATGCCGCCTGGGCCTCGCAAAGCGCTTGCTCACCCACGGCCACCTGTTTTCAGCTCAAGGCACCGGGTGAGGGTTGGGACCAGGTCACCCCAAGCGCCCTTTCATAGAGCGCTTATGGTCCCTAACAGTGGCTATTTAGGATAGAAAGTTGGGGTATAAAAGCAAGGTTATACGCAATTGGTGTTTTTGTACTTAGACTTATGAGCATGTTAAGCTTGCTTGTAGCCCTACTTACTAAGTCCCCTGATCCTGTACGTACCAGGACCAAGAAGGTGCCCCTTACTAGAGCCCTACAGGTCCTCCACAGTGGGTGTTTAGGACATACTGTTGATGATAGAAATCCCGCATTACCTTCAGGACCCTAGCCCTAAACTATGGGAATTATGGTATAGTCCTTATTACGGGTAATGCATGGTTCATATCATCAACCGTGTGAGAGGGTAGGGGGGCGGGGGGGTCCGGGTGGGGCTTGGGGCTTTAGGGTGGAAGTCGGACGGTTGAGGATTTGGCGCTTAAGCAGTTTTGGGATTTCGGCTTGCCAGGTTGAAGGTCGTCCGTCAAGGCTTTACGGTTTAGGGTCTGGGTCTGGGGTTTAGGGTTTATAGGGTTTGTAACAAAGTAAGTGTAAGGGATCAGGGTCGAGGATGCTTTTGGGTGAAGCAGGGATTTGAAGGCAACCCCAACGTGATTCGGGCAATGCCGGGCCTAAAATAATACAATACGGGTTTGGAGAGCGGCATGAATTTGGGGCGGGGAGGGTGGAATATTCATGGTTTGTTTAATTTTGGTGTAACTGTATCGGATTATGGCGACTCTATGGCATTTCCCGTCCGAGAACTACCATCAAGACTCCCTTACACCATGAAGCCGAGAACCCTCTTTAAAACCCCAGGAGCGCAAAATCAGCTACAACTTGAGTTTAGGGCTTCGGGTTGAGGGTTTAGGGTTAAACTACAACTCGAAAAAACAAGAAACTACAATTCCAAAGAAGCCAGAACCCTAAGCCTTAAAACACCACACCCTAAAACCCCAAACCTTAAAACCCAAAACCCTAAAGCCCTAAACCTTAAAACCGTAAAGCCCCTTGCCCAGGCCTGGCTAACGGTGCAGAGTAAGGGCAGAAAAAGCCCAAGAGCCCGGGAAGGGAAGGCCAACGTCATAGCTCCAGCCGCGCCGTCGTCGGAGGATGGGAGTACTGCTTCAAGCTTTTTGGGCCTTCAGGGTTAAGGGTTAAGGGTTTGTGGTGCAGGAAGGAGCATCACTGAACAGTGGAACCTCAGGCTACCATTCCTTCCTGTTACTGCTGCTACACAACTGCTGCTACTGCTGCTCTACTACTTGTGCTGCCACTACAATAACAACCCGGAGTACAACAACTCAGTGATGCGGCGCCGATGTCGGCTTGACGTTGGCTTTCCTTTAGGACGGTTCGGTCTGAGCCAAATGGCTGCATGTAAAGGATGAGGCCATAAGGGACGTAAGGGCCTCAAGGGTTTAGGGTTTAGGGCTGCAGCCCTGCAAAACAACAAGGATGCCTACTGCCCGAATGTTTTATGGTTTGTCTTGAGGTCATCTTGATAACGACGATTCGTCTCAATACATACGGTGTATATGTGTTTGGACATGTACAGCCGTAACAAGTCGCACATGCAGCCTCATGCATGCACATACAAAGAACACCACCCAAGATCTCTATGCATACACGGTACATCTTATATACATTCATGACACGCATGAAACAGTAAATGCGGGGGACCCGTACGAGCATCAAAGCCCCTGAACCCCAAACCCTAAACTCCCAAAGCTCAAAGTCTAAAACCTCTACACCCCAAACTCCCAAACCTACAAAAGCCCCGGAACCCCAAACCCTGAACCTCTAAACCCTAAACCCTAACCCCTAAACGAAACCCCTAAACCCCAACCCCCTAACCCCTAAACCCCCTAACCCCTAAACCATATACAGGTACAGCAGGCCTTCCCATGACTCCTCGGCTGGGGCTGTCAGCACCTTGATCGCAGCCTGCTTTCTCACGGAGTCTTTGATGTTTTAGGGCTTTAGGGTTCCGGTTTAGGGTTTAGGGTTTAGGGGTTAAGGGGGGGTTTATAGGGTTTGGGTTCGAAGCCCTAAACCCCATTCCCCGTACCCTAAACCCTAAACCCTCTAAACCCTCAACCCTAGACCCTAAGCTTTGTCAAACCCCTTAAACCTTTTTAATAACCCTCAACCCTAAACGCTAAGGCTTCCGGGTTTTGGGTTTAGGCTCCTCGTTTTGATGAGTGCCGCTACTGTCCGGCGCTGCCCACTTCGGCTCAGGCGTGACACAGGGCGTGGGGCCTAACGCAGGAGAGGGGCCCCCCAAAGGGAGCCTCAAATAGAGGGTTCTGTAAGGGATCTAAAGTAGGGTTCTATGTACGGGGCCCACCATACTATAATGACCATAAGGCACCCTAAGGAATAATGTATGCAATCATTTTAAAAAATAAGGACCCCTAAGGAATAATGTATGTAATTTTTAAGTATGAAAAGGACTCCTAAGGAATACGTATATATAATTATATATATATATATGTATACGTATATCCTCTTATATTTATCTATGTGTATATATATATATACAGTATATATTATATACATATGAATTAGGGTCTAGGGTTCAGGCTTTCGGCTTCGGGTTTAGGATTTTGGGGCCCTGGACCCTAAGGAACAGGGTTTGGGTTTAGGGTTTAATTTTCGGGTTTAGGGTTTAGGGAGGTTGCTTTACTTTAGTTTGAAGCGGGTGAAAGATTTAATTATTCTGAGGGGGGGTTCAACATTCAGGGATTTTCACAACCACAGGGGCCCTCTACGTAGATGTAAACTTGCCATACCTCTACAAGGGCACTGAAGCCTTCGGCCACGCTTTAACAGTTAGCCGATACAAATCCCGACAACACCTCACTCCGTAAGGTCCTATCTACGGAGCCTCTCCTCTGGGGAAACTTGAGAGGCCCATGGCAGGCCGTGAAGAAAACTTGCACCGCCCTTGTAGTAGACAGGCATTCCAAACATCAAAAGTGCACGCTCGCACGCTATGACGCAGAAGAAGGGAACACGATACAACAACAAAGCCGTCTTTGTAGCCTACTAAACTACTCCCTCTACCACCCTGCCAAAAAATCAAAAAACACACTCCCACACCCTTACATGCACAAAAGGATGACACAACATCAATCAAAACCCTACAGCCTAAACCCTAAAGACACCTCCGGGAGTTCGCCATTCTTCGTGGGCTTGATAAACGCAGCCAAGGAAGAGGTGGCCTCTTCGGGCTGGGAGGACCCGAGCCGGCTTTTGGTGGCTTTAGGGTTGAGGATCTGATTGGGGTTTAGGGTTTGATAGGGGTTTGGTGAGGTTTTAGGGTTGAGGATCTGAGTGGGGTTTAGTGTTGGATTAGGGTTTAGGGCTTAGGGTTTGGTTTGGCTAGGGTTGAGGATTTGATTGGGGTTAAGGGTTTAGGGTTTGGTTAGGGTTTAGGGTTGAGGATTTGATTGGGGTCTAGGGTTTAGGGCTTGATTCGGGTTTAGGGTTGAGGACTTGATTGAGGTCAAGGGCCATATGTGCATTATGCGTTCATGCAATTTTGTTTTTTTGCTTCATGTTTTTTGGTGTTCCTTTGTAAACATGAGCCACCATAGTATAATAATTACTAGATAGCAATACCGGCATATAGCTTGTCCCCTAGGGAAGGATTTGCTGAGCGGCAGCCAAAAAAATACTCGCGCCTGGGTCGGCGCTCTTTTCTCCTCCTGATCGTCGTCGCGTCCTTCGTGATGAGTAACCTTATATTTGGGAGCCTAAAGTAGAGCTCTGATTATGACACTGCTCCTCCCTACCTCAAAAGGGAATATAGTAGTATCTCAACATTCAGGCCCTTCAAGAAATGGAGTTTGTTAATCAGGGGTCTATGCTGTGCAAGATTTATCCGGGTCGGGGGATGGTGGGCTCCCTATGTTCGGGGCATTCGGCTACATAGCTTTGATGGTTTGGGGTTTATGCACCCTTTAGGGCCTAGGCATGTCTTGGGTTTAGAGGCTTTGGACAGTCCCGAAACTTAAATACAGCAAGTTGAAAGTTAAAGCGCCCAGACCCTAAACCTCTGAACCCCAAACCACGAAACTCTACGCTTTAAACCCCCCAGGCCCTATAAACCCTACAGCCTGAATGCGTATGTCCTCTAATTTATGTGAAGACATTGCAGCTCCTTCGGGGAACCCCCAGAGAACTTAGCACTCTTTTCAATCCCGCAAAAAACTCGCGCCTGAAGTCTACTCCCTGCACCGCAACTTTTAGGTCTGAGTCGAATTCTTGTCTGGAACCCTAAAACCCTAAATCCTAAACTTAATCTTAGGTCTAGTTCGACAAGGAACCCTGCAGCTGGAACATTCAATCCGTGAGAACGACACAAGCCCTCAACCCTCAATCATCGTTGGGGGGGGGGGCTTAATAATCAGAATAGGGTTCTTTCAAAGGGATCGTTAAGTAAAGGGTTCTATACTTGATCTATGATAGGGTTCTATACGAGGGTCCTTGATATAGTTAGAGTAGGGTTTGGGGATACGTTGCAGTATAAAGTAGTTCTAACAAGGAGCCTTGAAAACCCTAAACCCTAAACCCTAATACACCGTCCTTTCCCTCGGCGAGGAGGCCCATCATCACCCTTACCCTTGCCTTTTCCTTTGCCTCCCGAGCTTGCCAGTGCTTGCGTTTTGGTGTAATTTAGGGTTCAGGGTTTAGGGTAAGTTTAGCGGTTTGGTGTATAGGTTGTTGGCTTATCGGGGTATGCGAGAGTGAAATTGCAGAGAAGTCTCTGTAAAGAGCATAGTCAATGCTAGTAGCAACAGGAATTTCGGTAAAGAGCACTGTCAATGCCAGTAGCAATACATACAATGTTTGACCTTCTTTATTCCAGTGCATCTTCTCAGTCTGAAACTGAACAATCAAGTGATACGCATAACTGCCACAGGGTGAATCTGCCAAACTCCCTGGTTCTTTCTCGGAAAAGGATCCTATGATAGTCCCTTAAAGCGCATTGGAGTCGTCCCAGGGATGGACGTAATATAGCAAGGATGACATGTGAGGCTCTTCCTTATGTGGACTGAACCAATCCCTGGATCTCACAGTCCCTGCGAAGACACTCATACGGAAGCCGCCAACTCATTAAACCAGTGAGTTGTCAGGCATGTTTTCCTTATGATGCTTAAGCCAATAATAAGCTCGCTAATGGAAATAAACGCTGCTCAGGCCTCATTTGGGTTTAGGGTTTGTAGGGCTTAGGGTATACTATTCATGCTCCACGCGTAAAGCTCCAGATTAGACTCCAAAGCATGAGTAACCTGAACCAGCCTTCTCACGGGCCGCACCATGCGAGCTATTGGTATACATATCTAGCTAGCTAGCTAGCTAGCTAGCTAGCTAGTACATCTATACCTCCAAGCAGGAAGCCCCGAAAAATGAGAGAACAAAGGAATAGTAGGATCCAAAGACTGGGAACTCCGGTAAGGCACCACCAGTACTTTTCTTTTAACCTCCAGTCAGAAAATGCCCACAACCCAACAAAGTACAAATTGGGGTCTAGGATTTAAGGTTGAAGGTTCAGCGTACGACACTGTAGCTCTAAACAAAAAACTGCACGCCCTAAACCGCCAAGTAGAACCCCCTCTCGCACAGATCTCGCCAAACCAGCTCCTCCGCCAAAAAAGAACTAGAACCCTTATTCGACCCTCACACAAAGCCATACAAAACATAGGCCATACACAAGAAGCAACCGAAATCCGAAACCCAATCCAACTACTCTAAACACGGCAATCCCTAAACCCTAAACCCTAATCCCTGAACACCACAAGTCGTAAGACGGGGAAGGCCTTCGCCTTTGCCTTTCTTCGAGGACTGGTCTTGTGCGAAAGCATTGCTGGAGACCTCTTGGACCCGGTGGAGTGTACTACCGGCGCCTTATTCAGAATTAATTTGAATAAGTTTAAGATATGGGGTAGTTTCGACGAAAATTATAGGAATTATAAAGTTGATCTCAAATATCGGTTGTTCAGGCCCGACCGAGACTAGGGCATCGGATAGAGGGTTTCAAGGATTAGGGGGCCGTCAGGCTTCAGGGTTTTCGGAGTT